ATGCCGTGCGCCTGACGGTCACAGGTGAGTGCCGGCCCGGCAAACCCTCTGCCGAGGGGCCGACGAACCGCAGCCTCTGCCCTGCCCTGCCCGGCAAGGAGGAAATGCCAAACGCCTTCAGCGCCCTGACACAGCCCTGCCCGCTGCCTCCAGCCTGTGTCCTGCTGCATTTCCTCTGTTCAGTTTCCTCCTCTTTGAGGAACTGCTCTTTTCTGATGCAAAACGGGATTTCTACTTCAAACACTCATTTATTTATTCCTCTGTGGGTTTTTTGAAGTTCTCCCTGCCTCTGTAATGTTACCCACTGCAGTTCAGCAAGTTTAGACAAGGAGTTGGGGCTTTATTTGGGGAAGCAGGAACAAGGGAGTGGTAATTCAGTGGCAGAACAAACCAAGCTGGCCTTTGCTCCCCACCACCAGCCGCGTGTCCCAGGGGGACACACTGCACTTCATTCCAGGCTCTGACACTTCCAGGCTCTGCAGGACAGTGTGTCACAGGTTGGACTCAATGGCCTCAGAGGCTTTTTTCAGTCTATTCAATTCCATGATGGGTGCCTGGTGGAAATCCTGCAGCTCTCCTTGGCTGGTGACTGGATCAGCCCAGCTGTGAAGCCCCTGATGGCAGAGCCAGGCTCAGGCACCTCCCAGTGGCTGGGAAAGAGGCAGAGCCTGCTGAGCTGCCAGGCACGGAGCTCTGGTGAAGCCCTGGGTGCTTTTCCCGGCAGTGCCACCCTGGAGGGAGCAGCACAGGAACGGGGCTCAGTGCTGCAGCTGCTGCCCCACGCCGCTGGCACAGCATCCCCCTCCTGCCAGCTGGGACGGGGCTGCTTCCTCCTGCTCCCACCCCTGGGGAATTCTGTACCACAGCAGCATCTCCATGGTGGTCAGACCCCTGTGGAAGCCTCTCCTTCTCCTCACCTTGGAGATGTGCTCACAACAACAGCAGCCTTGCATAGGAATGTGAGAACCACGGGGGGACTCCACCCAACCACAGGTCAGGGTGAGAGCGGTGGCAGCGGATGGCAGGGGAGGGGTGTTGGGGCAGTGTGCCACCAGTGCTTGGAAGTGGTTTTGTTGCTGGGGAACAGAGTCTTGACACTACTGAACTTCAGTCCATATGCCTCAATTTGTAACTCGGGTGTTTCTGATCCATGGTGGGCTAATTTGTTGTCTTTGTAGGAGGGACTGTATGCGTTTTAGCACTGCTGAAAATGCTTTTTCCTAAGCTGCAGATGATATGGGATGGGATATTCTGGGTTTGGTTCTTTTCTGGTATTTTTGCTTGTCATCTGATCCTGAATAGAAGCTGCTGAGGGGAGGCAGATCTGGTGTCTCCAGTGACAGACACAAGTGCTGCAAAAGCTTCCTGAGACCCAACTGAAAACATGTACTTGACCAGGGACAACAGTTTGAGGGAGGGCTTCTGGATTCCCTGTGTGAGCCTCTCCTCCCCCTCACCTTGCAGATGTGCCCACAACAACAGCAGCCTTGCAGAGGAATGTGGGAACCACGGGGGGACACCACTCAACCACCAGTCAGGAAGACAGTAGTGACATGGAGCATACAGTGACAGGTGAGTGCCCAGGCCAGGGTTATTCACCTCTGTGCCAGGAGAAGACCAAGGCAGGGAGTTTGCTCTTCCACAGCAAGATCAGATGCCTGTGCTGAGTATGAATTGTGTCTTGATTGTTACCCAGAGAGGCAACACCAGAGGCTGGCACCCCTACTTGGGAATGTGCCTGATGATGGGAGGGGACAAGAAAATGTTTTCTGTGTCCCCCTGGGACCAGAACTGCTGAGGCTGCAGAGGTTCAGAAGGAGGTCACCTGGGGCAGGAGACCTGGCACAGGCCTCCACACCTCAGAAGTTTATGGTGCAGCTGATGGCAAAGCCCTCCAGGCCAGCCAGGGAGTCACCCGAGGAGACTGAGAGAGAGAGTGAAATCTGGAAATCTGGGGAAGTGCCAGCAGGGAAAAGCCAAAGCATTCCCAGGCCATGCTGCAGCCAGGCATGATGCATCGTATCAGCCAGGGCTGCCAGGAACGTGTGGGGAAAAGCTCAGGGAGGGGGACATGAGTGCCAAATGCTGCCCCAGCTGGCAAGACACACACAGGATAACAGGTGAGTCTAGGCTGGCAGAGCAGACCCATTTTCCTGATGCCCCATGGGGCTGCAATGCATCCACCATTCTCCACTGACAGATCCAGTCCCAACCACACGGGTCTCCAGGATGGATACTGCTCCAGTGGGGCCTATCACAGACACAGGTGAGTGGAGTCTCATGCTGGAAAACACCAGATTTGCACTGCCAAGGGCAGGGTGGCAAACTTCATCCCAGACCAGCTCCACATCTGGCTGCTGTGCTTGTGGCAGATACAGCTGCAATGCCAAATTCCAGGCATTATCCAGGCAGGAGCTGCACTCCTGACTCCTGCCCACATGCCTGTTGTGGGGGTGTTTGCAGCCTGCAGTTTGCTGTTTGTTTTCATGCAGGGATGCCCCATCCCTGGAAGTGTCCAAGGCCAGGTTAGACGGTGCTTGGAGGTATCTGGTTGGTGGAAGGTGTCCCTGCCCATGGCAGGACATGGAACGAGATTATCCCTTTAAGTTCCTTTCCAAACTGAACCATCCCAGCATTCAGTGACTGCCAGCAAGTGCTGAACCCCCAGGTGGCCTCAGCCCCTTCTCAGTTAGGATTTAAATGCCGTCCAAACCGGGGGGGAGTGGCGGCTGCCAGCCCCCGTGTCCCCTGGCTGCGGTGACAGCAATGTCCTCCCATTAGGAAAGTTAATCCACAAACACCATAGGTTTATGTCCAAAAAGGAGACAGAGGAGTCTTTTTACTTTATTCGAATAAAGGGAGAGGTCATGGGGCATTCCCCTGTGATCTCTCACATTTTTGGAGGATGCAGCCTCCTTTTGATCCCAATTTCCCAGCCACATTTCCCTTCTCTCTTTCCCCATTGGCTGAAGCACTTGAGAGGTACAGACTCCCCAGTACGCCTGATACCAAAGATTTCCCTCTAATGTATAACCCTCCCTTTTAATTTTTAATTCTTGTGGAATTTCGGGTTTTTTCTTCTCCATTGTTTCTTTCATCTTTCAACGTCTAATTTAATTTATCAGCCAACCTAAAGTTTATTGGCAAAAACAAATACCTTTTTCCATTCATCAATCAGTGGAATCTTCCCCATTGTTTCTTTTATCTCTCAGTGCTAGTTTTATCTACCAGCAGCCCCACAGCTTGTTTGTAAAGACAAATCTACTATTCTCCCATCCCGCAGGTTCCCAGCGGCTCGCCCCGTCCCCGCTGCTTTACGGGCTGCCGGCCGCGCT